GTTCTGCGCATGTCAGATCCACCAATGAGAGCGCTTGCGCCCACCTATCTACATTACACCTTAACTCACCGAGGGCAGGACGAGGATGGTGTGCAACGGCGCCATGTTTGCCGCCCTGGCGACGAGCGTGGATGCGCCCTGCGGCGTGTCCGCGCGCACCCCGGGTACGGTGGTCACGTGGGCGCCCCAGCGAGCGCGCATGAGGGCCAGCCTCCGCAGTGTCGTCTGGGAGAGCGCCGACTCCTGGAGGCCGGCGAGCACCACGCAGCGGGTGCCCCGCGACAACAACCAGTCCACCGTGTGCAGGGCCTCGGAGCGGCAGCCACCTGCAGAGAAGCAACCAACAGGCGTTAGTGTAACAAGTCCACCACGCCCTCCACTTGTCGTGCGTGTCCTTGAAGTCTTACCAACGACGATGTAGGACGCCTTGTGGTCACACTGGAAGCCACTGGGCGCCGCGATCACCTTGGAAGGACCCATTTCCAGGACCGCCTTGGCCGTAGAGTCCCCGTCTAGATAACTAAATCAACAGAAGGAAGTCGCTTCATTTGGTGGACTTCCCCTTTTATTAAAGGCAACCGAAAGAAACGTACCTGACGGCCTCCTTGACGTGCGAGATGGGCAAGACGGTCCTGTCCAAGGGCCGCACCACGCCGTTGTCCAGCCCGGCCTGCACTAGACCGTGCACCCTGCGGCGGACGTCGTCGGACAAGTGCAACAGCCCAGTGGAGTCCATGGCGTAGAAAGAGGTGCTCTTGATGAACAAGTTCATTCCTGCCATATCGCTCAGTTAGTTCCAGCAACTTTGGAATGTCGAGACGGCTAGATCATAAGACGAGATCGTGACGTTCTCGATGGCGCGCCTACCCATGCGAGTTCCGGTCATGCTGTCCGACCCGTTGATCTGCACGACGCGAGCGTTGATCGCCATCCTCCGCAGTGACGCCCAGAGTCCCTCGCCACTCAAGGTGCTCAGAAGCACGCGGTACCCGCGCCGCATCCGGTCGCTGTCCTCGAAGGCCTTGCTCAAGTCCAGCTCGAACTGCTCGCCTTGGAGGTTCAGGACGTGGTCTGGCGGGAGCTGCTAACGCACAGTTCACGAGTGAAAGAGTGGGGACGAGATGTTGCAGTAGAATGCATGAACAGTTTGGCGGCCTCGCCCAGCTTGCCTGGGGGAAGCGCTGCAGGATGAGGCCGTGCTCCTCCTCGGTCCGGTACGTCGTGTACACGTCGCCGCCGGTCGCCAGGGCCACGTCGATGCCCGCCTGGCCGATGGCGGACCAGCCGTCGTGGATCAGAACCCTTTCACGGGGTAGCAATTTTGCCGTGTGAACCAAGGCCGTGTACGCCTGTGGAGAAAACGCCATGGTCATCATCACCATCATTCACCACCATCGCCACCACTTCCGTCACCACTACTCTTACCATGGCGTAGGCGTACGGCACGGTGGCGGCGTCCTCCAGGCTCCACCCTTTGGGCACGGCCCACTGCAGGAGGTTGTCCACGGCCATGGTCTCGGTGTCCATGACACCCATGACGGCGACGCCCTCCTTGGTCCCCGCGTAGTCCAGCAGACCCACACCCCGTGGCTGAAAAAAAGAACAGCATCAGTCGCCGGGCGCAAAACAAATTTCGATAGACGACCTCTCGACATTGTTTCAACACAAACACAGTTTTGCAGCTATACCTGTTGCTCCTTAGTAGGCTTCTCGATGTCCAGGATGTACCCATCGCGGACCTTAATGTTGGTGGGCTCCATGATGGAACCGTTCAGGCCGAGGTATTGGACGTTCATGTTTGGAATGTCGGACACCCTGAGGGAGACATGGTGATGTTCAATGTAAGCACGAAGGCCTAGAGAGGATAACTAAGTTATCCTATAGCGTAGGCAAAGAGAGTAAGGGTCACCTGTTGACGCGCAGCTCCCTTCGGCCGGCCTCGTGCTGGACGATCGGCTTGGGCTTGAGGTAGAGGTTCCCCCAGGCGCCGTTCAACAGCACGTTCACTGCAAGGCCGAGCTTCATCTGACCCGTGAAGAACGGGTGCGTTGGAGAGAACTTGGGCGCCGTGGCGTCCAGCAGGAACACAGATCGGACGCGGTGTGCGCCCGGGAGCGAGCGGACCACGTCCCGGAGCAGGGCGGGGATGCCTTGCTCGGGCATGGAGTGCCACACGACGTAGGTGACGCCCGCGGCCGGGACCTGCAGCACTGCCACCTGCGAGGCGCTGTCGACCTCCACCACCTGGTGCGGAAAGTGCAGCACGGCCTGCGGCTGGAGCACGCAAAACGGATCAAAACCTTTCAAAACCCAAAACACGGAGGATATATATTTTTTTTGTTCTTTTTAGTTACACTGTTTCGCTTTCAAGCCACTGAAAAGTGTTAAGTAAATTGGGATATGTGAAGCGCCGCCTCGATTTCCGCTCTATCACTAAATAAACTGAACCCACACCCCCTCCACCTAGCACTATGTTCCCCGTCCGCACCCACCTCCACCTGAATAGTCATTCGGACCTAGAGTCAAGGAGCGGTCATTCACCTTCTTGAACAACACCAGGCGACGCGCACCGAAGGCCTGCTGCAGTAGCACGGTCACCTCGGGCACAGCTGGGATTGGCTGCTCTGTGGGCAGCTCGGCCAGCAAGACGGCGTGCGGGGCCAGAAGGGGCGCGGCGGCGTGCGCGTCTACGCCCACCAGGAGGTCGCAGTCGACGGCCTCCTGCGCGGCCAAGCGGCGCACCAGCACCTGCAGCAAGGAGAGCTTGTAGTGGGAGTCTCCTAGCTGTGAAGTTGCACTTGAGAAAGTCCAGCCACCCGTACCCCGCCCGAACGCTGCGCGATGGACTGCAGCTGCTGCTCCAGAGCAGCGCTCGTCCCCTGCAAGAGCCCCACCACGGTCTCGGTACTCTTGCGGCTCAGCGGTTGCAGAGCAGCCTGCTGGGTGGCCAGCTGTACAGCCGCGGCAAGCATCTCCTGGGAGTTCTAGGAGACAAAACATGGAAATCATAGACCGAGTGGTTCAGAAAAGAACTACCGTACACTGTATTTGAACATTGAAGGGGAATCCAAACACATGTCTTCTGAAATGACCCACGCTTGCCCAGTTGAATACCTGCATAGCGGCTGGATGATCGCCGTGGATCACGAGCTGCTCCAGGTCGACGGCGAGGTGGCGGTGCTCGTCCTGGGAGGGGAATGGCCTTGTCTCGACGCCCGAGATCTCCATGTTGGCGCAGCGGAGCGTGGAGGTGGCGCGGTGCAGGCGGAACACGAGGTCCTGGAGGAGCGGCCTGTCGATGTCCTTCCGGACCTTAGTCTCGGTGGGCTGCTCCTCCTCCTCCTGCTCGCCCTCGGGGCCGTCCTCATGCAGGAGGGTGCGGTCCGAGTCCAGGATGATCCTCCGCACGCGGTGCGGCACCCGCAGCTCGGAGCGCGTCTCCGAGTCCAGCAGCGTGTACACTTGCAGCAGTGCGTCCAACTGCAGCATGTGGTTGTTGATGTTGACCACGCGACCCAGGACGTCTGCGGGCACAACGGCGCGTCAATAACTTGGCCAAGTTCACTTACGGACTCAAACCACCCCTGCGTCCCTCACCAGAAGGCGATGTGACGAGATTCTTGATGGCCTTGAGCTTGCCGTCGACGTACACACCGCGGCGACGCAGCTCGTCGTACACGTCGTCCTGGGAGGAGAGTGTGCGCCCTCCGTCCTGGATGGCGGGTGGCCTTGCCCACATCTTTTTGATGCCCTTGGCGCCGTTCCAGGGCGTGTAGGCACGGCCCCGCGCTAGCACCTTAAGGTCTGCGGACACCTCGAAGTGTCCGCTCCCGCGCTGGTACATAGCGTACACGTACGCCTCCTCTGGGAGGAACATCACAACGTCACGAAGGTCGGGATGCGTTGGAAAGGGTTGGTGTTAAAGCGGTACATCAGGGATACCGGGATACCTTGTCCCGAATCCCCGCGCTAGGTCCCTTGGGTGCGGGTACTCACCGACCACGGGCATGTCCAAGATGTCGTAGAACTGGACGTCTTCAAAAACGACCGGCACGTCCATGTCTCCGTGGATCGCATTGATAACAGAAGCCACTTTTTCCTTCGAAAACGAATTCAGAACACGCTAAGAATACGATAAGTCCATGGGATAGGCGCGGTGGCGAGGGGCTGGCGCCGGTAGTCACCAGCAGCCAGACCTGCCACTCAGCCACTCACCAGGCAGACGGCAGGCGTGATGATGCTACGGCCCTGCCAGATGCACTCTCGGTACGGCGCGTAGGCGGGATCCAGGGAACGGAGGAAGAAGTGCTTCTCGCCGGGAACGAAGTCCTCCTGCTGGGAGTAGCGGCCGGTGTACCACGTCTCCGTGTGGTCCCAGCCCACCAGCGGGCTGAGCGGGGCCGTGCCTCTCGACACGGGGAAGTCCACGGGGTCGTACAGGTTCTGGATCTGCGGGTTCAGCCCGGCCAGGTACAGTCTGCGAAAAGAGCGACAACGGCGAGGTAGTACGACAACCAGGTGTGGATCCAGGATGAGGGGCGGGGGGGGGGGCAATTGCTCGCAATTGCTATTGCTTTTCATTCTGTTACTTCCTCTAAAAGTTAGCCAACCACCACGACTTCCCAGAAAATTGCCCCCACCCCTCAAAAAAACCTAAACAAAAAAAAAAAAAAACATTAGCTGGCTCCGCGCCTGACAAAACCAGGCAGCAGAATCACTTTTCATAGGAAACTCTATCGTGAAGGTCTCGACACGTACTTGCCAATGGCCTCGAGTAGGAACAAGGCCCCGTCCGGAGCGTCCTTCCTAGTGAGAGGCACGTTGGCGACGAGCTGGTCCAGAGAGCGTCGGAGGATGGCCTGGAGCAACCCATGAGGTGCAATTTCAATGGCGATGGCATCCTTGGGGATCTTACGCGAGCCCTCCTCGAAGAACACGGGGCTCAGGAGGTTGTTGGTGTGGTAGTCGGCCGACGAGGTCTGCGCCAGCGGCTCGCCCCAGCGCTCCTCCAGGACGCTCGTGGACACCCAGCGCTCGGAGCGAGGCTTGGGCTCGGGCAGGACGTCTTTCAGTAGGGACAACAGCTTGGGTCCTGCGGGCGCGATGTACTGCGAGTGGTACGCTATGTTGGACACATTGACGGCCTTGGCGAACACGCCCTTGTCCTTGAGTGTCGCCACGAAGTGCTGCACGTCCTCAGCCGGGCCGGAGATGGTACTGCTGGTCTTGGAGTTGTGACACGCCACCTCGATGGTGGGGGGCAGCATGTCCTTCACCTCCTCGTAGCCGAGCCCCACGGCCGCCATCATCCCCTTGATGAGCGTGGTCTCGATGG